ATCTGCACATTATATACAATAAGTATTTTATATTTATTATTTATTTTATATTTTTCTGCATATTATAAAATAATAAAATAATAAATATATATATATATTAAATAACTAAGAAATCAGTTACTATTATGTAATAAATTGGTGTATGCATATAAATTTAACTATCACTCTTGTTTATTCACAATTAGGGTAAGTAAATCAAAATAATCAATCTTATATATTGTATATGATATATAATTAATTTTAAATGATATAAACATAGTAATATAACACGCTTTTAATATGGATTTTTATTAAATGAGGTTTTTACTCATATGAATTTTTGATTATTTGCATATTTGTATAACAAAACTTTACACCAACGAATTTTTTTTAATGTGAGATATTTAGTAGTTTCAATCATTTATAATCATTTTAAAAAAAAACAATGACATATTTAAAAATTAAAATATTAACTTTTCAATATATGTTCAAGGCAAATATCAAAATATAAGTATGTATTTTCATACGATGTATAGTTTAATTAAAATGATATGAAATATATATAAACTAAAATTATTTCTTCATATGGTCCTATAATCATTATATTTTAATATAGAAAAAAAGAAAAAAACCTTGATCCTAAAAGTTTATTTGGGACTTTTAACAATTTTAGTAATTTATACTCATTTTGAAAAATTCGAAATACAACATACACACAAAAAAATCTAGATTTTTATTATATGATTAATGTAATTGTGTAATTTATTTTAATAATAAAGAAATAAATAAAATGAGAAAAACTATACAGATTGTTATCAAAACTTTATTGTTTAAAATCATTAATTGTCATATATATATTTTAATCACATTAGGTAATTCCGTAGGTTTTATTTAAGGAAAACATGCGAAACAATATATATTTGATATATGCGACCAACTATAGCCTACGAAATATTATATTGCTAGAGAATATAATTTTTTACCATTCATTATATCACATGCTCTAGAATCCTTGGGATTTGAAATAGAAGCCAAAGAGCTATGCCATATAGGATTGAGTTATTTTTAATTCTAACAAATTTATAGTTACAACTTTTTAAATTATTCTCAATTAATATATAGGGATTATGTGTGGTATATTTTTAAATGTTTGGTTAAGTCTCGCCCCCGTGTTTATTTGTCACCGACCCATCCTTGAGTTTGGACTCCTAAACGGGTGACTAATGAGTTGAAGAGTCATCTCCTCTGTTGCCCCCAAATGTGAGAAGTCAATCTCCAGAGGACACTGTATTTTAGTGAAAATAAAACTATATTTCTTAAGTTCAGAAAACACGGAAATGACCAACAAACTGGGCAAATTTGAAGTATTTATGAGTTATACCAGGGTATAACCCATCCGCCCCAACCCGACCCAGATTTATGGGCAAATCAAATGAACCGAAGAGTCTAACCATGTAACCATACTAACCAACCGAACCAATCCCTTAAAACTAAACCAAATCTGTTGGTTTTATCAAACCCTCTCAATTTATCATTTATTTTGGACAAATTTTCTCAATTTTCTGGAAACATTTCCAAACCCTAGTTCTCTCTCTGAAAATCAACCGTATGAGACTTGAATCGAGAAAGGAGATAAAAGCCGGAGAAATCAATCGAGTCAACTTCTCCTGTACCCCTATTTTTTAGAGATAATCTCCTATGGGCTCACGTGATCTCTTATACCCCTATTTCAAATTCTTTTTTTGATCAAAACCTAAACCCCCAAATTAAATCCTCCCCGGTGTTCAAAACTAAACAAACCCCCCCCCCAATGGATGAGTGAACCCATGGGCAAATATTTAAATTCTATAGCTTTCAAATTCGAAAAAAAATATTTTAAAATTGTTTTTAATCATATTTTGATGATTTTTGTGAAAATATGGAAAAAAAACGTTTTTTGATTTTTGAAATATTTTTATCAAATTCTATAAATCAAATAAAAAATATTCACGTTTCAAGTTTAATTTTATGTTTTTCATTTGACATATAAAATTAAAAGAAGAAATGTGTCCTATAGAGATTAGAGGTTAAGATTTAGGGGTATGAGAGGAGATGTCTCAAATCAATCTGATTGCTGCGATGGTGGTCGAAATGAGATGGGGTAAGAGGAAGAAGAATCCAACGGAAGAAGAGGGGCGCTCGGAGGAAGAGGGTCTGAGAGGGAAGTTTTTAAAGACAGCCTCCGGAGAAAATATGGAGAAGACGACGACGAAGAAGAGTGAAACGAGGGCGGTGGAGATTGTTGAATCTACGGTAAAGACGATGGAAGAATCGACGGTAAAGACGACGCATGTCTCAATGGAGAAGACGAGGGATGTTGCGATGGAGAAGACGAGTGATGTCTCGACGGAGAATGCGGCGGAGATAACGGACCCGAGTAATGTGGCTGCAGAAACTGCTCCGACGACACGAAACAAAAGTCCATCTCCTCCAGATTCTGGAGATGAAGAGAAAGAGGGTTGTGAAGTAGAACAAGAAGATGGAGATGAAGAGAACGATGTGACTGAAGAAGAACAAGAAGAGCGAGATGGAGAGAACGATGATTCTGAAGAAGAACGAGAAGAACCAGATGGTTCGAAGAACGATGATTCTAAAGAAGAACAAGAAGAACCAGATGGCTCGAAGGAGGGTTCTGAGGAAGAACAAGATGGAGAGAAAGACGATTCTAACCCGGGGAATGAAGATTCTGAAGGTGAACAAGCAGAAGAATCAAATGGAGAAGATGGGTTGGAAGCAAACGACGATGAGAATCCGAATCAACATGAACGTCAGGTAACAAATTATAGATGAGTTTGAATTTAAGTCCTAATATGATTAGGGAGAGCTAGTATATTGAGTGTGTTAATGTTAGTAATACTAGGAAAACTATTTGAAAAATTGTTGTAGTCGGACAACGTAGGAAAAATAAAATAACTTCGACATGCTCTGAACTTGGATACAACTTTGGCATGACTTTGGCATAACTTTGGTATAACTGTTGTATAATTGTGGTATAACTTTGGCTTAAATTTGCTATAAATTTGGCATAACTGTGATATAACTTTGCTATAAAATACATGATTTGAATGGGAATGAGGCACCAGAGCCAATCAAATCAACCAAAATGTTCTTCAAGCCATCTGAGTACACGAAACAAATAAAGCTGGGGACAAGGTGTACGATAGCTAGCGCGATTGATACACTAAGCCATCTGAAACCGAAGCTGTCAAACGCGGAGAGGAAGTGGTTCACGGAGCATCCTCAATTCAAACAGATTTTCCACATGAAAAGAGATAGAAACCACAGGGTTCAGGGAATATGGATGTTGTTGCTGCGTACTACCGAAACTGAAAGGAAGAGAGAAGAGTGGTTCAATGTGAATGGCGTTCCCATCTGGTATGGGCTGAGGGAACACGATTTGATATCTGGGCTATACTGCCACAACTATCCTCTCGGCTACAAACAGCTTGGTGGGACAAAGTTCGTTGATCGACATTTCAAGGAAGGAGAACCTAGAAGGTTAGAGGATGTTAAGAGAAAGCTGGTGAACATGGGACCCTACAAAGACAGACTGAAGATGGCGGTTCTATTCTTCTTATCTTCTGTTATCTGCGCAAACGAAGGTTGGACACAAGGCTAATGATGTGCTGGAGGTGTTCCAGAGATCAGTGGATGATCTAGACTAATGTGTCATTTCCATGGGGAAGATTATTTTTTTATTACATGCTGAAGAAGATTCCTCACATAGTGAAGCATTTTGGAGGGGTGATGAAAGAAAACATATTATGGCCGCTTCCAGGTTTCTGTGTTCCACTAGAGGTATGGTAAACCCCAATATTGACTTGCTTGTTGTTATTTAATGATGGTACAACATAATTGTTGTGTTTTTTACAGATTCTAGCATTTGAGGCAATTCCTAAGATAGGAATGGCGGTCAAAGAAAATTTTGAAGCTGAAGGAGGTGATGCCGACTGCCCGAGGATGTGCAAGTCCTCATTCAAACGAAATGGAATGACAGGGGTGTTACTGTATGAGATAAACAGGGAATTGTCTAACACAACTGTAAGTTTTTCTGTGAAATTGTGGTATAACTAGGGTAAAACTAGAGTACGCTTAAAGTAAAACTGTCGTAGAACTATGATAGGCCTCTTTTGCTAAGTTTCAAAATTAAATGTGTCTGTGACAGGAAATTCACAGCATCATCCCCACTAGATGTGCAGAGGAAGAAAGTCTCTTGGATACGATTTTGGAAGATGAATACGATGTTGATGAATCTGATATAGCTGTGGACAGCTGGGAGAAGTGTCTGGATGCAGGCTTTAAGGTTTTTTTTTAAAGACATGCACGACGAAGATGTAGCTGCGCGAGAAAAACAGGCAGAACCGATTGAAGATGCAGCAGGGGATGGAGTACAGGTAGGTGAGCAGTCGCTTCAAGCCGTAGATGTTATGAAGTTGCTGAAAAGACAGATGAAACTGATGAGGAGAATTGACAAGAAGGTTGACCAATTGGATGGGAGATTGGCCCCGCTTGAGGAGTTTTTCAAGGTAGCACAAGGAAAAGCAACAGAAGAAGAAGCACCAGCCCAAAGGAAAGCAAAGAAACAGAGACGCAGTAAGAAGTGAGAGGTAGCATGAGGAACTTGCTTGGAACTTTGTTTTATGTTTGTTAGAACTTTGATTTATGTTTTTTATGAAGTTGACAAACAATGAATGTCTTTGGATGTGTTTCTCGTTTTTTGCTCTTTTTACTGTGGATTTATAACTTATAAGTATGTTATAACTACATTATGACTACATTGATGAATTTAGGAAACTAGTTAACAAAGAGTGTTTAACATCAACATAAGAGTGTTTAACATCAACATAATCAACGTAAGAGTGCTTAACATCAACAAAAGAGTGGTTAACAAAAGAGTGCTTAGCAAAAGAGTGCTTAGCAAAAGAGTGCTTAACATCAACATCAACATAAGAGTAGCATGAACAAATAAACTTATACAAGTCTTATGGACGGGAAGTCGAGGTAATAAGCATCTTAAGCTTAGCAATCTCTTCGGCCATGTTATTCACCTCCGTCCTTAGTTTCTGCAGTTCTTCCTCTACACCGAAAGCCCATGGCGGACGAAAGTGCATCCCATCGTCCTGCAGTTTCATCCAGAGTATAACTCAGTTTTACTACGAGTTTTCAGTTTCACCATCACAAGATTATTACACAGTTTCACCACGAGTATAACACAGTTTCACCCTCACAAGAGTATTACTCAGTTTCACTACGAGTATAACACAGTTTCACCCTCCCCAGATTATTATACAGTTTCACCACGAGTATAACACAGTTTCACCCTCCCCAGATTATTACACAGTTTCACCACGAGTATAACACAGTTTAACACAATATAACACGAAAATTACCTCGTACTTCTTGCAAGTGAAGTACCTACTCACTGGCAAGGTAGCGAAATATGATTTGTACTTCGGATTGGAGAAACATCAATCTTTATTTCACCACCACATGGGCAACGGGTAGGAATTCCATATTGGGCCGCGCAAATGTACCCTAACATGTCGTAGTGTTCCTTCAGCTTCTTCATCTTCTCATACGGATGAGTCATGGTGAGCGAAAGTAGAGAGAATACGGAGTAGAGAGAGAGAGATTAGAAAGAGAGAGTGCGTGGGAAAGGATAAAAAGATGTGGTCTCGCGAGAGTAGAGAGAGAGAGAGAGAAAGAGTAGAAAGAGAGAGTGCTTGGGAAAGGATAAAAAGATGTCGTTTCGCGAGTAGAGAGAGAGAGAGAGAAAGAGTAGAAAGAGAGAGTGCTTGAGAAGTGAAAAAGTTTCTGGGAAAAGACTAGACGAGACCAGACCAGAGAAAATAGAGCAGAGGGAATCTACTTTTTGACCCAAATAATTGAAAATTTTGAGTTTTTTCGTTTTCGCGCGAAACTAATATTTATTTTCCCTCTGAAATATTTTCTCTTAGTTATACTCAAGTTTCTGGTATTACCAATTGTCTTCATAGTTCTACTTTTCGTGATTTCAACATTTTTCAGTTTTACGTATACTTTTAATTTGCGAAGCAAGTTGTACTTGCCATTGTTCTGCATTACCATGTAATTATAAATGATTAGTGCAATAATATCTTTGAAATCATGAAAATTATAGATTACTCATTTATAAGCTGATCTAATTAACAAAGTGATCTTGGAAAGACTATACATATTAACTAGTATAACAGGTGAAGAACCTGAGTCTTTTTTCATTATTGAGTTTTGTCAATATTTTCATTTTCACTAATCTATTTTCAGACTTATATTAAGACTTATGTTGTTCAAATAGTTGTATTAAGACTTATGATCATCGGATCATGTCTACCAAGTGATGTTCGGATCATGGTAATTTTTATCATAGTTTCACGTTGTTATACTAGTTTTCCTTGGTTTTCCAATATATCTCTTAAACATACGACCTTGAACATAGGTTCAAGAACACGTAAACAAAGGTTCTAACACACGTAAGCAGAGGTTCTAAAGCACACTTTTACATTGATAAGATTGCTTACACATAGAATTCTTCAAACTTTTTAACAATCTCCTCTTCAATTTGTAGCTTCTCCAAATTGGTTTTCAGATCTGCTCAATCTTCTCAGCCTTCTCTCGAATCTCATCCCGGGCTTCAATCAAAGCTCTTGTTTGCCATAATGTACCAGCCTCTTCATCAAACCATGCGAAAAAGTTGCATCCATTTTTCTCCTGCCATAATTTCAATTTTAAAGCTATTTTTAATATCATAATCGCTAGTTCCTCTATAATCTGGTGGGATACCTTAAAACTCAGACAACCATAAAATCGCCGCCCTGGGTTCTTGTCTGTCCAAGCTTGTCTTATGGCTGCCTCTAAGCGACAGAAACACAATTTCGGACCATAATTTTGCCTTCTCCTAGACGATCCTGATCCATCTCCTTGCATCTTCTTCACTACTTTGTCCTGAGAAGGAGAAGAGTCGAGCAAGAGAGAGAGAGAGAGAGAGAGGAGTTGCAGTATTTATTGAGCTATTTCATTTATTAGAGTTATAACCAGAAAAGATATTCTTAGTTGGAGAAAAGATATTCTTAGTATTTCTTGGTATTATCAATGTTTTCAACATACCAAAAGCAAAATACAAAAAGAAACGTACCAACTCAAAAGCAACATACCAAAAGCAACATACCAAACAACAAAATAGATCAGTTTGCTTCACTGGGATTACCACTACGCATTCCAAACAACAGCCAACTGAAACCAAAATTTTGCCTTGCTCGCCTTTTGTTTTGTGTCCTTTTACGTCGTTCCCCAACAGATGGATTCCTGTTATTCTTTTTCCTTCCCTTTCTCTTTTGTCGATCCGGAGGTATGATCTGCAGCTCTTTGATGTGATCTGGTACATTCCAATCGGACATGTCCGGCACAGAATAAATGGTCTTGTAATAAACCAGTGCCCAAAGTTCCGTCCAGTTTATTTCGAGCACAACTCCTCATATTCTATCCTCACATCACGTCGACGACCAGGAGCAACATCTACCTCAAGGAAATATAAGTAAGCAACAAGTCCATGTAAACAAGGATACTTTTCATAATCATAAAACTTGCAAGTACAGCTCTTCTCTATCAAGTTCACAACATAATTCTTCGCATTATCAGTGTCGGTTATCTCGTACTCCAGCTCGTAACTATTTAGCTCACGCACTGGTGTTTTCTCAGCTTTGCCCCATATTTTATGGATGTGGTTCTTGACAAGACGAACCAGTTTGGTATCAATCGACAGAACGTCCTTCTGATGTTCATTAAACCAGTCAGAAAACGTCTTGATGATTGTATCCAACAATGGTATTAAAGCATACCTCCTGGCGTCCCTAAACACACTGTTCATTGACTCCACACTGTTGCTAGTGTCCAAGTTGTATCTGACACCTGGGCCCATGTGCTCTTCTCAGTATGCTCCTCCAAATACTTGTATGCTGGAGAACATCTCAACTTAAAAGATTCGTAAGCAGACTCAAACTCAGCCACCGTGTAACACCTAGCCAACTCCATAAATATCCATCCGACTACGGCTTTCGTTGTGTTAGCCCCTCTCACATTTTGAGACAAATGCCATATACAATGGGCATGGTGAGATTGTGGAAACACATTAGCTACAGCCGCGATGAGGCTCTGGTTTCTATCGCTCATAAAAACTAATTTAGAAGAGTCTGGTATAGCAGTTTTGAGCATCTCGAAAAACCATGTCCAACTAGCATTATTTTCACCATCGAGTATACCAATCGCAAGCGGATAATGGTGACGATTAGGATCTTGAGCTTTAGCAAATACTAGTATACCACCATATCCATTCTTCAAAAATGTGGCATCCACGACTATCACCTTTCTCATGGCTGCAAAACCTTCAATACAAGCTCCCAGAGCTATAAAGAGGTACTTGAACTTATTTGCCTCATCCAACTTCACCCATGTTTTTGTTCCTGGATTGACCTGCTCTAACATGTACAAGTAGCTATATAGCATCTTGTAGCTCTATTCTGAACCACCACGCAACTCAGAAATAGCTAGATTTTTCCCTCTCAAGGCTGTGGAGTAATATATTGTTACACCAAGTTTTAGCTTCATAATTTCCATGATATCTTTCGGAACAGGAGTTCTCAGTTTTCCAGGATATTCCTCATTCATAAAAGTTACAACTAATTCTGCTGAATCTTTCCTCTTGATGTTGCTGCTTTTACTTTGATTAGACCGAGAGCATGTATGCATACCCGTGTACCTTTTAATGGAAAAAAATTGAGTCAGAGCAATCCTTGCAGCTCGTAAACCCCACTTACAGCTTCCTTCACAACATTTTACCACCAAGCGTTTCCGATCCGACTTTTGAATAACATAAAGAAAGGATTGACCAAATGCAGCTCTATCCACCACCTCTTGAAGTGCTTTCTTACTTGAAAACTCCTGAAACTTAATCAGACCCAATCCATCTTCCCAATCCTCTATAACCTTAATAGCTTTTTTATAGGTGGCTGCTCAACATAATCTGCACCCATATCTGTCTCAGCTGCGGTATCCGTCTAAGCTGCGGTGTCCGTTTCAGCTGCGGTCTGTCTCCGCTGCGGTCTCTGTCCTAGCTGCGGTGTCCGTCTCAGCTGCGGTGTCTGTTTCCGTATCCATAAAATCATTCTCTGCAACTATCAGCTCCTTTTGTCTATTTGCTTTACCATTTTCTACATACAGAGTTATGGCCTTAGGTCTGATTTCATCATCAACATCATCATTTCCCTGCAACACATCTTAGTTCATACCAAACGAACTTATGCCCACTCTCGACAGCTTCTCCACCTGGGAAATAAACCCGAGAAACCAACTTAAGAGCTCTACGGTTATCTTTATCAACTGTTGTTAGGAAACCAAACAGATCATCATCATCACGAATATTTTGGTGTTCTTCAGATCCATACACCATCGGCAGGCACTTCAATGCCAATTTTACCATTCTTTCATCCAATCCAAGCTTCTTATACAACTTTTCTTCTACCATTGCCAAACTTATATTCTCCACGGGTGTCTTCAAGATCACACAAGGGATCTGCCCTTTGAATTTGAAATAGATGCTCACATTTTTCATCATTGAACCCTGCAAAAATAAAAGAATATAGTTTTAGTTATACAAGTAGTTCTTAGTTACCTACAAACCCCAGATCCAATTTCTATCTTCCAGCTCCCACAGAGAGAGAATAACTAACCTGCATTAAGACCTGTCCAAATGAATGCTAGCCGGTGGAAACGTTTAGGTCCGACGGCGTCGCCGGAGTTGCGTCGACAACAGAGTTTCTGGGCCGGAGAAGAGCTCGACAGAGAGTGGCGGGAAAAACGTGCTTGAGGAGAGGAGAGAAGTGAGCTCAGTGAGCTCCAGTGAGCTCGAGCTGGAAATACCTAAAACGTGTTTTAATTTCTTTTAATTTTCAATTTTTTTTTCTTAATTGAATTTAATTTCAAACCGTTAACCGAAACCTAAACCATTACCTCAAACCGAATCCACCAACCCGAGCTGCTGCTGCTACCCGAACCAAGCTCCTATTTCTTTTTTCTTAATTATTTTCGCCCCACGTTAGGGGCAATTCCGTCATTTTGCATCTACTTGGACAAAAAAGGGCATAGGCGATTATGGGAGCCCATAGGAGATTTGACTTCTCACATTTGGGGGCAACAGAGGAGATGACTCTAAGTCGAAGAAAGGTGAAGCTAACGTTTTGTTATTTTTTGTTTTGTAATGTTAAAATCTTTGTTAGAAATGACGCTAGGCGCTAGTTGGGTGGTTGTTCTACGCCTAGCGCCTAACAAAAAAATCGAAGATTATGCGAGGATTGACCATAATTTAATTTTGGGAATTTTATATAGTGTTTATAGATAGAGATATCTATATAAAATAGTTGAAGTACAAATGTGAGATTCGAGATAGAGCAGTGGTTTGCGTACTATATGGCATCCTCTCTTTTTTTCGTTTTTTCCATTTTTTTCTTTTTATTTTCTATGTATGTATAGTTAAAATTGATAGATCTACCGAAGAACCTCAATTTTTAAATTTAAATGAACAAAATCTTGAGTTTCTAAAAAAATACTAATTTTTTCTCCAATTTATAGCAAATCGCGGCGATCAACGGCCGATGAATGATTTTTTGGCGAGTAGGCGGCCTTAGGCCCCGCATTTTTGAATAGGGGTTAAACCCTAAATCTAGAAGTTCGTAGATTCAGTCTCATCCCATAAATACAAAACTCTTGACAATAATCAATAAACCCTAAATCTAAATAATAAAATATTTTTAATTGACAGTGGAATCATACGTACATGGTATTTCAAGCAAACTATCTTAATCCATCTATAATTTCAAGCCGATTGTAAATTCGTGTTGAATTTTAATAGTTTGGTCACAGACTCTAAAATCTTCATGTAGAGAAAATTATATGCCATCTACCTGAATACACCATGCGCATTTTCGACCATGATACCATGTGTATCTTGTTAATTCTAAAACAATTGGTAGACTTAAGTAATATATTTACAAACACAGGGACAAGTACGTGGTGGTATATGAAAATACTGATGAACTTTTATGTCAAGTAATGCATGTTGGCATCGAAAAAGAGATGAGGAATAGTTGGAATTTAAGTTTAAAAAAAAAGTTGGAATAGTTGTCCGATGCTTTTGAGTTCTGACAACAGTATGCTTTCTGTTTCTTTCCGTATAAGTTAGGAGAATCGATTGCAAGTGCGCGCATAATTTCGTGACAGTCACAGTTCAATTTTTTTTAGAATAAAATTGAAGTAGTTAGTCTCATTTAATCCATTTTTTGGTTACTTGATTACCTTGTGAAGATCTTGTCCCAAACAAGTCTTTTACTGACTTTCTATTGCATCTTTAAAATTCAACTATTAAAATTCAACACGAATTTACATGTTGATTAACATATATATATATATATATTCCTCTCAAAACTTATATGTTTATATTTTTAATTTCATTGATTTCAGGACAATTTTTATTTTTTAGTTTGGTTAAACTGATGTTTAAACTTTGATTTTCCTATAATTACTACTATCATGTAAGTTTTTATAATATTTTTCATAACTATATAATAACTAAAAAGAATTGCCAGTCGTTAAATTTAATAAACTTATCAAAAATTAATTTTCATTATGATTTAAGCTTGATGAAAACAATATGTCAATTTGGTGAAATTCTTATCATTTAATTTCTACACACTAATGTTCATGAACTCGTTAAAATTTTACATTTTTTTAATAGAAAGCTGCTTCAACTTATAAATTATTCTGTTGTGTTTAAGTAGAAGCTGAGATCCAAGATTCCTAATGACTATTTATAAAAGAAAACAAAAGTTCCAAATACCTACAAATCCACCAGGAATATTGGTGATTCAGATTTTGGATAAATTAACATCAAGTGGACTAAAATCAAATATACCTAAATAAATATTTATGGGGTGGACTGTTCTAGCGTCATCTGAATACATTAATGCGATTAATAATATTAAAACATAAAAGGAAAGAGTAGAAAATACCTTTTTATATATTCCCCCAATAAGGCTTGTTAATTTTCCATCACCGAAGTCTCACTAGATGCATTATTTCACAATGTCCCTTTTAGGGACTGTGGAGGACAACTAAACCACAATACCTTTTTTCTTGAATTTTCTTATGACTTGGCCACGGTATATATATATACGCATATCATGTGAATATATTATTAAAAAAATTTTAATGACTGGATATATTCAAGATTCCAAAAGGACATTGGATCTGATCGTGAACAAAGAAAGGCAGTGCTTATTTATTCTAAGAGCATTAAAGGAATCACCACTTTGTAATTTAATTAGTCGAATCATATGTTGGGATGAGGCCAAAGCTAACTATAGTGGTTTATAATTCATTACCTTTAAATGCAAGCATAAGCATTGATTCTGCTTAATTTGGGATTGTAGAAGTGATTAGAAATTCTAGTTCTTTGTTGTACATGCACTACAAGAAAAAGAGATATTTCTGATGGAAATTTTGACCGGTTTGTTTTTGGTCGGAAATTTCCGACAACTTTCCAATGAAAATGTAATTTGGTCAGAAATTTCTGACGACTAATATTCGGATAGAAAATAGTCAAAAATTTTCGACCGTTTTCCGAGAACAATAATATTAAAAATTATCCGTCGGAAATTTCCGACCGCTAAAATATCATCGGAAAACGGTCAGAAATTTCTAATGGTTTTAAAATTAAAATTTGCACGTTTTTATAACCTTTGAAATTCGTGTGGACAGTCTTTAATTTGCAGGCTAAAAAGCAGGACACGAGCAACATTACTAAATGGAAGAAAAAGTGGAGGTTGAAGAAAGATAAACCATTAGGTCTGAATCAAGATGTGTGGGATGGGTTTCAAGCTTATTGGCAGCTCGATGCTACTGCAAATATTGCATCGAACAATTCTCTTAATAGAAAAAGCAAGCGTGGTGGAAAAGGTGAAGCAGTACACAATGGTGGTGCTAAGACAAGAGAACAACGTGAGATAGAAATGGTAAGATAAGCGTTTTCTTTTTATTTGATTTTCCTCATATAAATTCTATCGATTTTATTGATTTTCTTATATCATTTTTGTGTTTAGTGGAAGACTGCTGAAAGGGGTGGTGTGCGACCAGATTGGTTAGATTTGATGAGGGATATGCACACCAATAAACAAACCGGTGAGGTGCAAGATCCCGTTGCGAGAGAGCTGTTGGCAACTCTGACAAAGCTGAAGGAGGACAAAGAAGCAGAGCTTCAGCAGTCTCAGTAAGAGAATGATGAATCTACCGCTTCTAACATGCTTTCTCGCGAAGAGATCAAGCAATGGTGCTCGAGGTATTTCTAGTTTATGTGAATTTAACAAGTTATTTATAGTTCCTACTACATTTTTAAATTTTCTTATGCTTCTTTTGTAGAATGTTCTTCGTAAGAAGGGACGTCGCTAAGGTATTGGCCGTACCTCGCAGGGTGTCTCAACAGCTTGATGAAGAGCGAAGAAAACGTCACGCGATAATGACAGAGCTTGATCGAGAGCAGTCGCATCGTCAAGCTATGGAGCTAGAGCTTCGTAACGTCACCACTTTCATTTCCAACCTTTACCCTTCGCAGTTCTCTGCAACTCAAAGCCAACCCGACTCTGAAACCCAAAGCCCTGAGGATCCCGTGGAGTAATGTTTCTAGTACTGAACTTTGTTTGTCAAATGTTTTTTTTGGTATTGTCTTATGTTTAAATTAAGCACTTTTGTATGTTTGTAGACAATATAAAATTAAGTACTTTATTATTAAATTTTAAACTTTGCAAACCTTTTTAAAAAAATTGATTTTAAATTTAAAAATCAAATTTTGATTATTTATGTTTCCAACCGAAATAAGCATTTCTGACCGATGAACCTGTCAAAAACTTCTAACCAAAATATCGGTCAAAAATTCTGACCCAGATATCCGTCAAATATATATGACCGGAATTTCTGTCAAAATGTTCTGACCGATATTTCCGTCAAAAGTTTTCGACCGAATATTCCATCAGAAATTTCTGACCAATTTTCTGACGAAAAATTTGTCAGAAATTTCCGACCGTTAAATTTTGTCGATTATCGGTCAGAAGTTTCTGACCATTTCCGGCCACACCGAGATTTCCGACCATATAGATCTGACGGTCTTATCCGTCGGAAATCCGTCAGAACAACCCATTTCTGACCATTTTTTAACCGATATGACAGTCAGAAATTACTTAATTTCTTGTAGTGATGCAACTAGTTGCCTAGATTGTCGAGCATAATATGTGTTCATCACGGTTGGAGCGATACATTCATGACAGATCGGTTTGGGAGGGGGGGAGGGGGTGCGGTTCATATAAAACCTCTAGGTTTACTAACTTTTTCAGGAAATTGTGTCAACTTTTGCAATAGAAAAACGAATCAAAACTTTGACTTAGCCAAAATGGATCTTACTTTACAACATTTTTTTTCTTTACAACTTAATCTTTTAAGTATTGATAAACGTCATCGTTGGAAGCTTCTAATTGTTAACCTAGGTTTTTTATACGGTTTATATAAACATACAAATTTGTTTGCTTCTTGAGGTTTTGCATTTTCCAATGAGGCAGCTACATAGATACGGTGGATACTATTTCGGATTTTTGAGAAAAAGTACTGATGCAAACTCATTTATTAGTGGGTTCATCGATTTTTCAATCAATTGTGTATGTTGAACTGATTGTAACGTCCTACTCGAACGCAAAATTTTCGAATATATAGCGAATGGTCTTATCTCTTTCTAAAAGACTTGGTCTTATCCTGACCATGAATATGTTAAGTTCCTCTAAAAAAAAATTAAGCATCTCAGAAAAAAACTTTCTATTTTAGAGTTTGCAAAAAGTGTTTTTTTCCAAAAACAAAACTTCAAAGTAAATTTCAAAATTATTTATATTTTATATTATAATTCTTATTTTTTCATAACTAATTAAAATTCATAAAACTTTTATAAATAACCAGCACATATATAAAAACTAGGAAAATTCTTTCAAATAGTTATTTTTAAATTTTTGTCACAAAAATAGACCTCAAAAAAAAAAATGACCAAAGTAGCTTTTTATTTTGAGATATGTAATTTTTTTTTTAAATTTAAAACCCTAAACCCAAAACTCCACCCACTCTAAACCATAAGTCTAGATTGGTTAACCTAAGTGTATAAGTGTATATTTACACTTTAAAAAAAAACTGATTTTGGTAATTTTCTTCCTTGAAGACTATTTTTGTAAAAATAAAGTTATCCAAAGGAATTTCTCTAAAAATTATTACAGAAATATTAATTCTTAAATATTCTGCTATTTATCGTTTAAATCCTTATACATTCTTATCTCATAAAATTTTTAAAAAAATTATAAATTTAAATATTATACATAATTTGCTTAAATAAAACATTAAGATATGAATAAAATATCTTAAAACTAGAACTAGAAAACAACAATATTACAAAGCTTAATGTGGTATTTTTTCTAGTTTAATATTTACTTATATATTTATATTAATGTAACATTGTAAGAACCAAAATGCAAATAAAAATAAATATGAAACTTTAAATTTGAAATTTTGAGTAGTGATACTCTATATTTGAAGTTTTAATACTCAAAACTTTAAATTTGAAGTTTTAGAATTACGGTTTAGAGAAAAAAAAAATTTATATTTAAGTTATAGAGTATTTTTGAAAATGCTCTTATTGCAGCGTCAACGAATATTGTTTACCATCAGAAGACAAATTAAACATATAAGTGTGAGACTTCTCTTCATTCATGAAAACATATTGTCTAGTGAAACGGTGAAGGTGACGAATATTGCTACTTTCTTTAGTTGATACATAACATATGTGATTTTTTTTTGTAAATTATTTTGAAAAAAAAAACAGATGTAAGATCAATTATCTTTCACATAAATTTTTTAAAAAAACAAAGATAAACACGAAAATTGGACCGCTGATTATATTTAAATAAAAGTTTAAAGGGCTTATAGACTGTTACAGAGACATGTTCAAACGGCAAGACAATAAATCTCAAACTGAGACTACAAGAAAACACCGTGATTCCGACGATTACAGTCATCGGAAATTTTTCGTCGGAAATACAAGTTTTTTCGGAAATTCCGAGGAAATACCGAAAACCAAAATTCTGCGGGAATACTGAAAACATTTTCCTAGGACAATTTTGTCGGAATGTCTTCGAAGTTTTCCGATGGAACCTTCTTCGGAAACGTTCCTCGGAATATTCTGAGGACACACACCCTCGAAATATTCCGAGGAACATGAACCCTCGGAATATTCCGAGGAACTGGAGTCCTCGGATTATCCGACGAAAATATCTCTCGGAATATTCCGAGACTTATAATCGTCGATTTTTCCGAGGTACAAAATCGTCTGAATATTGCGAGGGTTATTCTTCCTCGGAATATTCCAAAAATTAATTTTTTTATAAAATTATAAATTAATTGTTTTTAAATTTAAATTTGAAAATATAAAATAAAAATTGAAATTGAAAAATTATTAGATAATATTCAAAGTTGTACAAATAAAAAAAAACATTCAGAGTTATAAAAAAAAACAGAAACTACGAGAACCGCTCGTTCGGGTACATTCTCTTCATCATCTCCATCATTCGCTCGTTCTGCCTCCTCATTTCCTCCCATCCCGCCTCTTTATCCGCCATCTTGGCCTCCAACGCAGCTATGCGGTCATCCTTGTCCTTCAGCTCCTCCATAACCATTGGATCAACAGAAGGCGATAGTGCAGCAGGAGGAACCGATTTGGACCGACGACCCAAACCGACCAAACGTCCCTTCTTCTTTGGAACCGATTGAAAGAGAAAATAAACAAATTTTTAATAATAGAAAATAAAGAAATAAATGAATGGAACTTTTAAAAAAGATCTTACTGATTCAACGATTTCGTTGATTTGAGTCCGGGATAGGTGGGTCAAAGCCGTAGAAGTGGAGTCCAGGTCGGTTTCAAGCTGAGATAGACGGATCTCTTCGCCTTTCTTCAGAGTTTCGACCAGCTCGACCACCTCCTTCACAAGGCCATCATCAATCTCCTCGGTCTGTTTGTTGGTATGCGCCCTCTTCAGCAGTTTGAAGTCATCAACCGCCTCGCCTTCATTTTCTTCCGCTTAGAAAAAAACATAAGTTAAAAAAACATTAGAAATTAGAAGAAATGCATAAAAAATAAAATTAAAATACTTAATTATTCAAAAAAGAGATTGAACTTACCATACGATCTCCCAGAGAGGCAATAGACTGGGCACCCAAGTTGTGTATGTACATGCCCTTCCCGCCATGTTTGCTGTTGCGGTTGGTGGAGTTGGTCAAGGAGGTGTCTTTCGTTGCGTCCTTCTCCCATTGCACACACAACTCCTGCCAGCCCGTGCTGTTGATCAACTTCGGGGACCTTTTAATAAATAAAAAATAAAAAATAGAAAAATAGTTTAATAAATTCAAAAAATAGTTTAATAAATTTAAAAATAGATTAATAAACCGGTACCTTATAATCGAGCCACTTTTGCTTCAACTCATAGATCTGCTTCCCGTAGTTGTCCATAACTTTATGGACGAAGGCGTTACGGACGAAGGCCGTATGATCGGGATTCCAGGTGAACTCTTGCTGGAAAAAAAACACAATTAGTAAAAAATTTATATTAAAGATTAAAAATATAACTAAAAAAGTTAGAATACTTACCGCAAACTGACGAAACCACATCTCCTGCTCGTGGAGAAGGAACTGAGTGAAATTCGGATATCCCTTCTTGAGGTCTGAGTACATCATCCGGTTGATCCATGCGCTGAACCCGTTCCCGGATCAGTCGAACCTAATATAAGAAACAAATTATTAATAATGATTCAACTTTTAATAGAAAAAAAAGACTCTTAACTACCATGATTGACGTCGTCCCTTTGGACACTGAGTGAGATAGAGAAGATGGTCACGACCGGGCTGCTGAACCAACTGTTCAACAGTCATCACTCCCAGAACGACTGGAGGAGCAGGAGGAGCGGGAGGAGCGGGAGGGGGTGTAACAGCGAAAGAAGGAACCTCATCAGAAGGAACCGTAGCGGAGCTGTAGGGTAGGTGTTCTAGGACGATGAAGAACCCCGACAGTGGCTGGAAGAACCCCGAGAGTGGCTCCCCGTAACACTACGACCTCGGGGTGCCGAACGACGAACTCGAGACCGGGGCTGATCACCGCTAGACCTGTAAATTAGAAAAAATATATAAAATTAGTTTACTAAAAATAAATTGAAAAACTAAATATCAAAAAAAAAAAAAATGATTTAAAAATACAAAAACAGTTTTTAATCACAAAAAAAACTTTAATAATATTAAAGAATACCTTTTAATAAATACAAAAATGATTTTAAAAATCCAAAAACAGTTTTTAATCACAAAAAAAATTTAATCATATTAAAAATACCTTTTAATAAATAAAAAATGATTTTAAAAATCCAAAAACAGTTTTTAATCACAAAAGCTTTTAATAATATTAAAAAAACCTTTTAATAAATATAAAAATGATTTTAAAAATCCAAAAACAGTTTTTAATCACAAAAAAGGTTTCAAAAATATAAAAAAAAAAAACGTTTTAATAATTCCCAAAATAGATTTATATACAAAAAAAAAACCTTTGGATT